ATCAAGGCCAGTATGTTCCCATTTCTGTTCCAGGGGCAGTGTTTCAACCAACAAACAAACAAATACCTTCAAACTCAAAGTATTCCTTGAAACTACTCTCTAGCATTCTCCCAAAATAAGACTTGCCAGTGTTAAGAACCCCTCCAAAGGCACTGTGCATAGTGACAAGAAGATTAAAGTAGCAAAATCGAGAAGACAGACAAGACTGAGCAGACACAGTAATGTGGAAGGGGCTGTGGAGAACTTGGAAGGTGAGGGAAGAACATAGAAAAATTAGAGTTAATGAAAAAAAGAAAAAAGAGGAGAAGGAAATGGGAGCATCTAGCAAAATGTTAGATGGGAGAGGGCATGTGGAGGTGGTGGCAGAGAGAAGACAGGTAAAAGGTGAACTTTATTGAAGGATGACAAGCAACACAATTTGGAAGAAGCACAAATTCAGTATTTAGCAAAAAGAAGATTAGAAATGAAAGTACTTCAGTGATTCCAAAAATGTTCAGATTAGGGTTTGGTTGGTTTTTTGGGTTTTTGGTTGGTTTTTTTTGGTTTTTTGTTGGGTTTTTTTTTTTGTTTGTTTGTTTGTTTTGTTTGGCTTGGTTTTGTTTGTTCGTTTTTTTGTAAATAAATTAAAGACACTTGGTGTACTCAGAATAGACATTACTCCAGAAATGGGGTAAATGTAAAAACAGTAAGTAAAAAGGAAGAAACCAGCTGCAGGAAGTGTTCTTTTAAAAATACAGATTACTGGAAATAAGAAGCTGGTGTTGACTGAGATTTGTGCAGGTTAGGGAACTATGGTCACAGTTCTTCCTGTAAATGCAGTCCAACCGGTGGCAAGAGAAAGATTTGAAGTGTAAATAGGAAACACAGGCTGTTATTTGATCCTAACATAGGCTGTTATTCTATTCTATTCTATTCTATTCTATTCTATTCTATTCTAGTCTAGTCTAGTCTAGTCTAGTCTAGTCTATTCTCATCTTTATTGGATATGAAGTGGGAATTTTAGTATGAAAGCTTGAATTTTGTTGTAAGGAGATGGTGTGGGAAAACAAGATGAGAAGGTAAATTGTCAGACTTGGTTTAAGAAAATGCATCAGAGGAAAGTGAAGAGAAGAGAACAAGCTGTAACAAGAACTTGTAAGAGCAGGGCTGGCAAGGGAAGAAATAGCACTGAGGAAACTTCCAAAACACTATTAATGCACACCCAAGAGATGAGTGCTCAGTTCCTACGTGCACAAAAGAAGAGTGAACTTTAAGAGTGACATTTAACTGCTACAGTGAAAGCAAAGAACACAATAAATGAGAAGGTGAAGGAACGATAAAAGGTGTTTGGCTAGACTTTTCTCCCCAGAGAAAAGGCAAATTGGAGTCTCAATTCCCACAAATATTTTGAGAGAAATTAACTTGGTCCAGGAAAACTCAGGGAGAAAAAACCAAAACAGATGTTCAGATCAGACAGAAATTGTAATGATTGTTAGCACAATGTGAGTTACTCTGGCCAATGCTATACTGAAGAATATCCTTATACAGTTTCTGCTTTGAAATTTGTTTTATTTACATTTCTTCTTCATGGCCATTTTGTTAACGACTTTCAATATTTTTAGAAATCAAAGTACATTGCAAATTGCAATACACATCCAGAAATGAGACAGGTTGCATTTCAACCACTGAAGTGATGAAAATTTCAACAGAAACAGAGCATTCTTTGGTTAAACAAGAGCAGCAGTTCAAAATAGCTGTGCCTAAATCCTGTACCTGCATTTCTTTTGTCCAAATTAGCAAGAAGTGAGAACCCAACTTTTCAACTTCATTTTTCTTTTTTCAAGTATACAGAAATTACTAAATACATCTTTTAAATATTCCAATACCACAGGTAAAATTTTAACCATGTTGCACAAACTTTTTTTTTGGGAAGCTACAGAAATAAGGAAAATACAGAACACATGGAAATTACACATCAGCTAGTTGAAATGCTTAATAAATACATAAGAGCTTATCAAGACTTATGAAAATGCTTGTTTAATCCAATAATTAAAGCTCAATAAATAAAGGGGATTTTTGATATTGACTTGAACTGAAGCAAGATCAGACTTTACCGTCTTAAGGAAGTATGGTTTTATTGTAGTATTTCAGATAAAACTCTGGGTTAAAAGCTTCAATAAACATCACTTACCATGTTATGACCAATACTACTTGAGACATTTGTCTGTTTGAAGAAAAATTAGAACTAGCCTATAAATAATAATATAAAGCCCAAATAAGCAAACTACTGTCCCCTCCTTTTTTTTTTTGGTCTGGAAAATTCCACTCAAAATCTGTAGGTCATATTTTTGATGAATTTCTACAGACTTTCAAGGACTCACATGGTAGTTATTCCTTGGGTGAAGGAAGCATGAAATGAGAACAGGTGATGTAAGGCAGGCCCCTTTTGTCACTTTACATGTCCCCAGCATTTCAATTTTTAAGGTTGTGTGAAGAGCCTCACAGCAGGTCCATACAGGAAATCATCTTGATGAATGTGTCATTTTACAATACAGAAGTGACTCCAATTAATCTCTGTGTGCAGGGAGGCAGCCTATAACAAGTAGTGTGTTGTAAATTCAAAACCTTTCTTAGTACACACTGACTTCTTACACCATTAAAGCTCTTCTGAACCTTCTTGACACAACCCCTTACTGCTTCAAGGCTTGTTAATAAGGCAATGGATAGGACATAGGACCATGTCACTGTTGCCAGGGGATGTGGATGAAATTGGGAGTATAGTAACAGTAGCACTTCTAAAATTCTTCCTCTCTTCTTCAGCTTGTTTAAACATTAAGATTGTACTCTAGATTTGCTTAATCTGTGTGTATTTAGGAGTGGGGGGCAGAATGGGGGTTTCGGGTTTCTCTGGGAACAGTAGTGAACTGGAATAAGGAAATATGTAATTATACTTTCACAGAATTTCACACCTGTGAAATTCTCTTACAAGGACTGGTATTCTTCCTGTTGAACTCAGTTTTAAAATCTCATTAATCCTAATGATTAAATTCATCAAGTCCATAGCGGACAAATATCCTCATGGCAAAATTATAGGAATCGAGGAGGATTTCACTTGATGGTATTCTATAAGTCTGTACAGGATGGGCCATCTTGCTTCAGTATTACACAATGCAAGATTCAGGGGCAAACTCAAATGTGAAAATGCAGCTCATCTGCCAAGAAAAAAAAAAAAAAGGAAATAGATTCAGGCAGGACACTTCCTCCTTTTGTGTAATTACCTCTGCAAAAGATCTGCATGGCTAACAAAGTCTCTGGCAATGAGACAAGAATAAAAAAAGCTTAGTGAGTGTCTAAACAAAGTTTCCCCTCTCATTTGCCTTGGCTTCTTACAGAATATCAGGAATAGTAGTGATGCCTGGGGGCTAGGACTCACCCTAGGGCTCAGTTGGGCACCCTGGGGCCCCTTGCAGTTAAACCAGCATGGTGCCCAGCTGTTCTGGGAATGACTCTCTCTCTCTCTCTCCGTGCCTGAGCCAAAATAAGCTCAGCTACACTTAATTGGCTTCCAGCTGATCACAGCTCATGCAGCTGCCTCTGAGCTCTGCCCAGGGATTAACCTGTACGAGTTCAGGGCACTCACCCAGGCACTCAGGCTCCTCCCCAGCCCAGATGCGGTGCAGGCTGATGACCAGGGCTCAAGAGCACTCCCAGGGATGCTGGAAGACCTTCCCCACAGGCACATAAAACCCATCTCAATGTGTCTCCTTCTTAATGTAACAGGGAGAGCAGCCATATAATTTTCAAACTGTGTGGTGACTTGGCTGGTTAGCCACGGGAGTTTTCTTTCTGTGATACCCTTAAGAACTGCAGAATAAGTTTACCAGGAGGACATCTAGAGAAAGAGCTGACAGTGATTAAAACACCTTTGAACTCTTTTGGTATTACCACATGAGAAGCCCATACATAATGTGTTTGCAATGAAGTTTGCACTTTCCACACTGGGAAAAACAGTTTTTCATGGCCTGAAATACCTACCATCTTTAGGCTTCTTTAAAAAATAAATGGATGAACAAGCACTTTAAATCTTGGTGAGGAAACAGAGTTAAGGAACAAGCTCCACCCCTCAGTGAGTTAGTGAGGGTTTACAAAAATCAGTTGCACAAGCCAGTTAAAAATAAAGCAGTGGCTGGAGCAGGGAGGCAAAAAAAATTGGGACTACAGGCTATTAAAAATACTTTTCCTGTCTCAACAGGAGCAGGCTAGCTGAGAACATTTACTTAAATTCTTCTTAGGAGAATGTTTATACTTGTATTGAGATAATCCTTGTGGGGCTGATTTGATTTTGGCCTTTAATGTGTTTAACCAGCTTTGTGTCAGAGACAAGTTATATGGAGCTGTGTTGTTTGAACTGATTGCATTTTTTCTGCTAAAGAGAGAAGTTTTACTCAATTTCCAAATGAAACATCAAATTATCTAATTAGGGAAAAGCACACATAGAACAGAGGAGTTAGCAAATGAGGACAGCTTTAGCAAATAATTTGTTTCTAAACTTAAATACCTAAATTTGCAGCTATTAAGTTTCTCTTAAAGTATTTACAAATCAAGGGAGACCAAGCAGCAGTAATACCTCCACAATGCATAGAGGGTTCTGAGTAGGCAATTTGCATTTTCTGCAATTCAGAACATTATATTTAGCACATAGTGTAGTTTCCCTGTGGGTGCACAGCAATAGAAGTCAAAACAAACAGATACAAAGCGTTTTAAAAACAGCATTTCAGATGATGCATTGCCTGCTTGAAATGACAAGTCTGTACATTGCAGGGTAGGGCTAATATCCACCTCTCCTTTATAATTTGAAAGTCTGTGTTGATTTATTTTCACTCAACTTCATGTGAGACAGGGCTATTTTGAAGCCTTTTGGGAGAAGAGAAAAATATCACTGTAAAGAAACCATCTACCACGAAATTTTAAAAGTGTTTGGAAAGGAAACTCAGGAGATTTTTATCTCAAAGCCCATTCAATCATCCTTTATTTGGAACTGCTTTTAAATACTCTTCTACTGCAATGGGAGAAACTTCTCCATACCAGCTCTGAAGCCAGATATGTTCAATGTTCATTTTCATGAAGAACCACTCATAGCTACGAGGCCACTTTCTTACCACTGGGTGCCTGGAAGGACAAAGAAAAGCAAAAAAATATTAGAAGATGTGCCAAAGCATATGCATAGTCTGCTTTTTTCTTCAGCCTGGTGTGCTCAGCCAGAGTGAAACCTGAGATATGAGAACACCACCATTCATCTTTTTGGCCCTTCCTTGGTGTAAGGTTTGTGATCTTCATCACCTCAGTCTGGGGAGAACTGCAACACAGGCAGCCAGCAATCACCACCTTCACCCACTGCAGAACTCTATCTCTAAAGGTGTTGTTTGGTCTCTGAGTAACTGAAAAATAGTTAGAGAAGACTCTTTGAATGTATGTCAGGGTTGTGATTGTATCTGTTTAAAGGAAACAGTGACCTGAAAATACTACATCTTTGGTAGCCCTTGTGGTACGGAGGGAGGGCTCATAAAACTGGGTAGCAGGTAGAGTATTGTCTCTGCAAGCTGTCACCTCCGACAGCCTTCTCATCCTGTATTTTTGTCTCATTTCTCTCATCTCCTTAACAGCTAGGTCAGAAAGAATCTCCCTGACAGGGTGCAGATGTCTGCTCCCCAAGCTGCAGCGAGCATAGCTGTGGGAAGCTCAGCAGCAATGCACAGAGTGGGTACCACAGTTGGAGTCACTGTTCGCAGGAACATGGGCGGGAAGTGGTGCAAGTCTGGGCAGCGTTGGCTCACTGCTCTCTCCTCCTGCACAGGACCCTGCAGCAGAGGTGCTTGGTTTGGCAACCTCTTGGTGTCCCTCTCAATGGGAAAATTTGGTTTCCTACCATTTTCTGAGTTGTCCCTTTGAGCACCTATGATTCTGGGGTTGGTAAGTGGCATCAGATCCTGCTGGCACTAGATGTGCCCCAGCAGCCCTCACTTTATCTTTTTGACTCTTGCACCCTGACAGCAGAGCATCCTCTGCTGAGGTGCTGGTGGACTCTGGATCACATGGAAATCTAATTCTTGTGAAGTCTGTAAAGAAGGCTTGTGTGTCAATATGGCTCCATGTGTTCATGGTCCCATTTTTGCTATTGGTGGCACACACTGACAGAGTCCCATCCTGTAGGTCAGAAGGAATACCATCTCTGGGCTGTTTCAGATCCAAGCTGATCCCATTTCCCAGCAGTATTTGACTGACCAGGCAAGGTGAACCTGGAAGACAATCCCTGGCAGCCCATGTGGGAGTTGTGTGCCTCAGCTAAGGTTTAGGCTTTTCACGCCTGTAATTCTGGAAACCCACTGAAGGGCATGGGAGCACGCCCTGTGTGTGTGCTACACATCTGGGTTGTTCTTGCATTTGTTCAAAGGAGACTGTTCAGTCAGTACTATGGCTTTGAAGCAGCTGGGACATGAGGAGATGTAATTAAACTTGTAAGCTCCACCCTGAAAATATTTGTAAACCCAAAGGCAGCAGACCTCTGCTCTGTCTCTGAGTCCACTACCTGTCATAAGGTGGGGAAGAGTCATTAAAGATAACAAATACACCATGGAATTATGGAATTTCTCCTTGGAACCAGGTGACATATCTTCATAATCCCTAGATTATAAACCATTTGCTTTACCAGAGTCCAACACTAACTAACTGCATTTCCATATTTCATTTCCTCAAGAGTTACAAGGTCTGTCATTCCAAGCCACACAGAAGCCAGCATGCTTCATGGCCCCAAAGCAAAGGTCAGGCTTGTTATTTCTCAGATTTTCTGTACCAAACAGCCACATTTGTGTATTTGTCTCAAACCCGTGGGTTGCACTCTACTGCATGCCTGTTAGATACAGACCTGGAAAACATTGCTTGCTTGGCAAATTCTACTTCCTCTGGAGGCACCGTGACCATCTGTCCCGTGAGAGTCAGCCTGGCGCACCTTGGATCCTCTGGATCAATTACGTTTTTTCTGTGCACAGAGAAAATTGCTCATGAATAATAGCTTACTTGCTTTTTTAAAGGTTTTTGGAGAAGTGTGGACTCCTGCTCACATATAAAAAGCTTTGTCAAGCCTTGTGGGTCTTCTCTACTCCCAGCTATACTGTTTGGTAGAGGGTGAAGTCTGGAAGGAACACTTGATTGACATATAGCTCTGCTGTAAATAGTTGCTTAATCTTAATTTATGATCACAAAAATTGGATTAGTATATATTGGATTGTAAAAAAAATGTGAAAATGGCAGTATTCCCAGACAGATGTACAGGCCTATATTCAGGATTCTGAGAAGTAGTGAGATGGTTAGTCTGTGTCTATGCCTACAGAAAAGAGTATGAATATGTCTATCTGTATGTAAAACATAAGGTCTTTTCATTGTGCTTATCCTAGAAAATCAATCCTTGTTCATTTTTTTACCCATTTTTCAACTATTTTACACCAAATAGAAAAGTTCTCCAATTGCCTTCAGACCAAGACAGGGAAGGTACTTGTTACTTTTTGGCTCTTTGTATATAGTAATAACAAATAACTCCCATTAGTAACTGCAGGGCAATTGCTGACTCTTGACATATACAATACAAGGACATAAATCATAAGTAAATCTACCAATTGCAAAAAACCAAATGTATGAAATGACTGCAAAGGCTTGATCCTGGCAAATACTGAGCAGCCCAAAGTCCTGTCGCTAGCAGTTTGAGACTGCTTAGTGTCTCAGGGAACCATGTTCCCATGTCAGCCCAATAAACTACATTAGGAAATGAAAGCTGTATTTCTTCTTCACTGTGTTTTACTCACAGTAAATTACATCTCATTCATGTACAATTTTACTTAAAGATCTTGGCTTGAGCCCTTTAGCCTTAACTGTGTGCAATCTGCAATGGCTTAATTTTTGGTTATATTTCTCAATGTGGGTCTAGTGTATGCAGGAAACATATGGGCATCCTCCTGCAGCTAATTTAACACCTGCAGATTCTCCACAGATGGTTATGAGAGACTGTGTAGCTCACTAGATAAAATAGCTGCTTTTCTAAAGAGGCTCATAAACAGAGATATGTAAGGAAGTACAGGAGGCTGATTGATACTTGACTATGTCCGGTAAACATTTGCCACTGTCTGCAGCTTGACCTCCAAAGTGCCATTTGCAGTCACATCATCTCAGGGACACTATTTCAGTGTCCTGCTCAGTCTGGAGCAGCAGTTGAAGGGGATGTTCATTTTAACAACTTTTGGACAAATTCCACTTGTATTTGTTTCCCTCTCCCATGCTTACTGATGGGAGGAAGGGTCAAGGCCAAAGAGCAGGCTCTGACTTTCTGTCCACATCAAATTATAATTTTCTCTAGTACAACTTTTTAAGTTATGAAAGTAGTGTTCTGAGTACCCAAAAATCTGCATTCCCTGCCCAGGCACATGGATTTGTTTCTATCAGTGTGTATGCAGAGTACAAACTTGTACTTATACTTGATCTGCATGATCTACATGATCACCTTGGTACACCATAGATCCTCAGCACTGACTGCTACTGTCTACTGAAGATGTCACTTCATGTCTGGGTTCCAGTAGTCTGAAAGTGCACTGTCCCTAAGGAACTCAGCTCCATCCCCAGGGACACCTGTAGCTCCTGGGATTTCTTTTGCATAGGCTTTGGGTGTTGTGTGGCTGCCCAGTGAGATGCTCACCCACCAAAACACAAATAAATTAAGGCAAATACAGTGAACACAGCTGAAGAGAAAGAAGTGGGAATGCACCCACACTGCAGAGGGTGTCAGCTGAGGGTCTGTGTGTCCAGCAGCCAGGGCAGTGCACATTCATACTCTTGCAACTGTTGGCCCTGGATGGTGAAGTGTTCAAGTCCATTTGAAACAATCTCCTGATCTACTGTTATCTTTTATAACAATAAAATCTTAATACTGTAACCAAAGCCCTCTGCATATGTTTATATATTCAGTACATATTTAACATTTATACTGATGAAGGAAAGGGACTTCCTGCGTGCAGAAATTCAATTCAGAAAATTGCTTTAAAACAACTGTGCATCTGAATATATGATACAATTTCCTCCACAGCCAAACAGTATCATAAAACAATTGAAGAGCCAGGGAAAGCAAGAATAATTGCAAGTGTCTTTCTTGCACACAGCTCCTAAGTAGTATATGGTTAATTACTTTAAGAGAGGATTTTGAAAGAGATTGTTATTAAAGGATGTCTGTGTTTCACAGAGCAGATCGAGGTGATAGATTTTGGATGTGATCAGGAGCAGTGAGAAGTTTTGTTCTGACCTTCTCAGATTACAATTATTTGGTGGTTTTGTGCAAGTCCATGTTTATTCTGAAAGCATAGTATTTGATTTTGAGTAGGCTATAGAGCTGATGTAGCTGTGGTTAAGCAGTGAACCCTGCCTGTCTTTGCTGAGAAAGTTTTGCCTAACAGGACTAGTGTCTGATGTGACTCTTCCACAACTGACATGAAAAGCTGCTCTCCACATTTTTGGCTGACAACAAAGCCCACACACTATGCATCCATAGCTTGAATAGGTTTTTTTCATGTTTTGTTTTTTTTCCCCTGGCTTCTTCTGTTTACAGTTTTTTGTACATTCTTATGAAGCAGGGTGCTACACTGATTGACACACATAATACTATCTTCCCAGTAAAAATTATTCAAACTGAATTTTGCATATTGGAATAATATTCTAGAGGGTCGGTTTGTTTTTCTGGGAAATGACTCAAACAAATTATTTGTTGAGATTATGTGAGGTGAAGTTTTGGAAGAGCTGAACAGGGCAGTGATACATTTGAGTTCAGCATACTGTTACTACTTTATTGGTTTTGCTTTCAGGACTGCCTGTTATCATAGGGGTTTTTTTCAGATTAGGAACCTTGTATTCTAATCTGACGTTAGCATTAGCATTTTCTTTTTCAAAGGAACCCTTCATATTCTGAAGTGGATCTGCTTCTGCTTTTTTTTGGCATAGTATTTCCCTAATGATGTTTGATTACTTTTATACTTCTTAAACCATCAAAACCCACTAAACTTACAACTACCATTTCTAAATGTTGTGAATGGGTCTTCAGTTTTCAGTGTTATTGCCAGTGCAACTAATACAAATGCAGGATTTGCTTCCTTGGAGCAAGGTGATATAGTCAGGGATTTATGTCATATTTTTACTAAAGATAATAAATGGATATTTACTAAAACATTCCTCACTTGCATCTGTAGAGGTCTAGTCATGCATTCACTAGACATTTCTTGCCTCTGTATAAATACGTATCAGCTCTCAGTCCCTGAGTTCCTCTCATCTTTGCTGGCACAAGAACAAGTACATGCAAGGAGCGGCTTTATGTAACATTTGTGTGCTGCTGACTGGGTGTGAGGGGGAGGCAGAGTCGGGGTAGACATAATGCTCTGTTGAGGAAACCCAAAGTGGTGCCTCAGGTGGTTTGTCTTTTCCAGAATCAAGCCCTCCGTCTCCATGGAGAGGACTTCATGAATGCCATAGTAAAACATGAACTGAGGGGAAGAGAAAGCAGGTAACTGTGAAAGAAAACCAAGCAATAGGGAACACATTCTTTTTTTTTCATGCTTATTTCAAATGCATATGCTTTGTTGCAGAAAATTAGGAAGGCCAGATTAAAATGGAAGAAGATTCAGTTTATGCATTTTATAAGACAACAGTGTATTAAGAGATATCATCTTCATTATTCATCTGGTCTGTGAAGACAGAAGAATTGATTGTTCCTGTTCCTCTGCTTACAGTGAGCAAAGTAGGTATGCAGAGTTTGACCCAGTCCAGGCAGTTTTCTTCCAAGTGTGTGAGATGATATCACCTACAAAGGTGCCAGCTTTACTGAGCTTAAGGAAAGGCCTGCATCCAAGTAAAAAGTATTTCCCAACAGAAATGCAATGCTGCAAAGCACACTGCTAATGACCATGTCCCACTTATTTTACTATGTAACGCTTCCGCAATTTCTGGGTCCTGGTTCAAGAGTGCTTCAGAGTAAAGAGTGCCACCTACTCATTAAATTGTTTACTACACTAGCCATCTCTCGGAGTTTAATTAGAAGGTTTTTACACAGCAACTATCCAAGTCCAGGTGTTATGAACCTATACTTCAAGCTGCTGTGGTTATATTGGCACACGTGATGATGATGTTGGGACTTGGTTAGGATTCCCTTTCACAGGTGAGATCTGTGCTTTGACTGATGATGGTCTGTCTCCTGGTTTCTGACCAAAGTATCCCTGAGTATTATCTTCATTCTCAGCCTCTGCAATCCATTAGTGAGGTGACACTGATCTGCCACAGATCAACAGGAAAAGCAAATTAAGAGTTTGGAAGTCACTTGGGAAGGAAAGCCAGGTACTCCCAAGAAGGAACTGGTAGGAGAAAGGCAGGAGGGTTCAGTACTGTTCCACTCTGGGTCTATACAGAGGAATCCCTCTCTTTTTCTTCTTCCCCAGACTCATTTTCCCACAAAGGAGCTGACATCCTTCTCCTCCACTCCCTGAGGAAACAAGACCTACCACCCTCCCTGGGAGGATACACAATATGTCCCCTGAACACATTTCTCACTGCCGTGTGAGAAATCACTGCTCTTGTCCCTCTACTTCTTCAGAGCTGAAGAGAAAAGAAGTTAGGAAAGAGCTTTCTCCTATTGCAGAGAAGAAGAGACAGACAGCCAAGAAGAAAGGTCCAGAGAACAATTTCCCTACATTTTTTTTTTTCTATTTTAAAGCACACAGCTCATGAGTGGAATAAGGGCAATGACTGCCTCCACACAATCTAAGCTCTCCTATAATGTTAGCAGTCATGAAAACCCATGTAATTAGGAGATGGGGATTGGCTGCTGACACAGCTCATCCCTGTCACCTCCCATGGATGCAAGGTAGGTGACTCTGTCACACCCTACACAGGGCTCCTCTTCACATAGCCTCAAACTGGCACAAGGTGAAAAGGCAGAGTTATTTTTTACTACATAAA